GTATATCCCACCTATTAAATTTAATATAAACTTGAGAATCGAATACAGAATCGAAGAGAATCATTAGGATCCTTAGTTTTAAATTTAATAATCTATTAATTGTTTTTAAAATTTATAAAATTTTTTGATTAAAATTATTTAATTTGTCTTAATATTTTAATAATTCTTTTAATTTCTAAAACTTTAAAAAACATTATAGTTTCAAAATTATTAATTTTATAAAAATTCTATTATTAGTCTGTTATAAAAATCTTTGGATTTTTATTTTAGTTTACAATTTGATAACTAATTAATAATATAATAATTATATATATATAATTTAAAAATTTAAAAACTAAAGTTAATTAAAAAGATTTATTATTATAAAGTAATAATATTATTAAAATTATATAATAATTTTTTTGCAATTTTTTTATTTATATAATTTATAATTAATAAATTTTTAAAAATCATAACAATATTTTATAATTTTTTTATAGAAATTAGTTTATTCTTTTAATTATTATAACTAATATTTTTATGTCAAAATTTTATTTAATAATAAAAATTTTCAATTAATTTATTTTTAAATACAAGTACTGTTTTTATAAAATTTTTAAAATAAACTTATTATGTAATATAAATATAAATATCTATTTTTTATTGTATAAAAAATCAATAATTAACTTATAAAATATTTATAATTTTATTTATTAAAATAATTTAATAATTTATTATTTTTAATAAGTTTCTTGTCTTTAAATTTAAATTTAATAATTATAAATTTTAAATATAATTTTGTTTTATTAATTATTTACAAAATTATAAGATAAAATAAAATTCAAAAAAAATTCAAAAACTTTTGCAACAAACTATATATTTTAAAAAATTTAGAAATATTAAAAAATATATTAGAATAGTTAAAAAAATATTTAACTAATAAAAAATAAACTTGAAATTATTATTATTTTTTAAAATTATATAAAAAAAATTCACAATAATATTTATTTTTAATTTTTGTTTGAATTTTTTTAATTTTTTAAATAAATAAATTTATATACAATACATTCAAATAATTTGAAATAATTCTTATATATTTAAAATAAAAAAAAATTAAAAGAACTTATATTTATTTATTAATTAATTTTTTAATTTTAGCTATTTTAATTTTTCAAAATATTAAAATAAGTTCAATATGTTAATTAAAAATCAATAACAAACTATTTATTTATTAAATTTTATAAATATTAGATATATTAATATATTATTTATTAATTTATATAAACAATATAATACTTAAAAATAAAAATTAGGCATGATTTTATTATATTAATTATTTATATTATTAAATAATTATCTCAATTAATTAATTATTAAGTTATTATATTGTTATTATTATACAGTATATCTCAAAAATTGGTTTGTTTTTTTTTTGTTAAATAATTAGTTTATTTTGTATCTGTACTTTAATAGTCACAATTTAATTTAATACTTATAAAAATTTTATATACCAACTATATTAATAATTATAATAACCACAATATTTATAATAATACTCTATTTATTTATTATTTATATAAATTGTTATTTTGTTAATAAAGATCTAATTAATAAGTAGCAAGAAATCAAATAAATGAAAATTCTGAACTGGAATTTTTTTTGTAGTATTATTTTTATAAATCATTATGGTTTTCTTCACAACAAGCTACATCAGTTTTACTCCAGTACTTTTACTATATACATATATATAAGAAACATTATTATTTATTAAAAAAAAAATCAAAGACAAATAAATAATTATTGAAATAAGAATTTTTCCTATTCAATAGTAAAATAAAATATAAAATTATGAATTAAGTAAAAAACATAAGAATGTTAAAATAAAAGTAACAATATTTTAGTAAAACCAAACAAGTTTTACATATATCAATTCTTTATATTTTTGAATATTAAATTTATAGAATATACAATATATTTTTAAAAATTATAAGCTATACATACCGTCTCGATCTTTTAACTAGTCCAAGACTGAGACTGAATGAGACAAACTGTGGACATATCTACTTCATCGAGAATGAATTGATATTTGAATGTCTTAAGCTCATCCCTTGACAATAGCCAACATTATAGATCAGTTAATTTTTTATATTATTCAAACGCTTTATGTTTATTCATTTCAATTCAATTCCATTTTAATAACAAGAAACAACATTATATGTTCATTAAATAATTCATATCTTCATTTTTAAATCAAATTCCATTGAAGTAACAATAGCAAACATCATATGTTCAATTTACATGACTCATCTCTGTTGATTTTTTATAATACTCGATTGACTTGTGTTCATCCTTTTCGACTCCAATTCCATTTTCATAAAAATAGCCAACATTGTATGCTCCTCTTACATGACCCATATCAGCGGATTTTTGGTAATATACGAATGCCATGTTTTCGTCCTTTTCAACCCCAATTCCATTTTGATAACAATAGCCAACATTATATGTTCCTTTAATATCACCCATATTGGCTGACTTTTGATAATATTCAAATGCCTTGTGTTCGTCCTTTTCAACTCCGATTCCATTTTTATAACAATAACCAACATTATATGTTCCTTTAATATCACCCATATTGGCTGACTTTTGATAATATTCGAATGCCTTGTGTTCGTCCTTTTCAACTCCGATTCCATTTTTATAACAGTAACCAACATTATATGTTCCTTTTACATGGCCCATATCAGCCGATTTTTTATAGTATTCGAATGCCTTATGCATGTCTGTTTCAACTCCTATTCCATTCTTATAGCAAGAACCAAAATTATACATTCCTTTTACATGATCCATCTCGGCTAATATTCGATAACATTTGAAGGCTTTATTTTTGTCTTGTTTAACTCCTATTCCATTAAAGTAACAATTTCCTACCTGAAATAAGCCATCAGCATCTCCCATATCAGCAGATTTTTTATAATATTCAAATGCCTTATGTTCATCCCTTTCAATTCCAATTTTATTTTCATAACAATAGCCAACATTATATATCCCTTTTATATGATTCATCTCGGCTGATTTTCGAAAGTATTCTATCGCCCTATGTTCATTCTTTGCACACCCAATTCCATTTCGATAACAATAGCCAACATAATATGTTCCATCTACATCACCCATCTCGGCAGATTTTTGAAAATATTCAAATGCCTTAAGTTCATCCTTTATAACTCCAATTCCATTGAGATAGCAACACCCAACATTATATGTTCCCTTTACATGACCCATTATGACTGATTTTTGATAATACTCGAATGCCTTATGTTCATCCCTTTCAACTCCAATTCCATTTTGATAACAACAGCCAACACTATATGTTCCAGATTCATCACCCAAATCAGCCGATTTTTTATAATATTCGAATGACCTATATTCGTTCTTTTCAACTCCAATACCATTTTGATAGAAAAATCCAACATTATATGTTCCTTTGACATGACCCATCTCGGCCGATTTTTGGTAAAATTCGAACGCCTTGTTTTCATTCTTTTCAACTCCAATTCCGCTTTGATAACAATATCCAACTTTAAATGTGCCACCAGAATCTCCTGTGGAGGCCAATCTTTGATAATACGCAAATGACTTTAGTTCCATTATAATAAGCGTGAATATAGTATCGGAATATTTTTTCTCGATCAATATTCGATAATTCAAATGCCCATACGTTTTGTCTCCTTTTGTTGTACAATTAATTTTTGATAAATCAACTGTCGTACATTATTTCTATAAATGAATAAAATATTGATAGAGTTTATTTAACTATTATATTAATAATAGAAATTTTAAGATAATTGTAAATAACTACCATATATATTAAGCCTAATAAAATCATAACATATTAGAATTAATAATATTTAAAATAGATCAACAACTTTATGTAAAAATTACAGATACTGTACTAACATACACAGAAAATTATTATTATCAATAATTTTGTTTTGTATTTGCGTGAGAAAAGACTCAAGGATTCAATTGCTTCAATAAATCCATACTGTAATAGGGTGTAACATATTTCACGGGATTTTGAAAAATGTATTCTTATAATAAGAGTTGTTAAAAGAATAACATATTTGATCAAACGCACTAATTGAATAAATATTTATATCAAAAATTATTTTTATATAAAAAAGCAAGATATATGAATATAAAAAATCATAAATTGAAATTTTTATACTTGAGAATATATAATTCATTGCTGTTATTCATAAAAAGAAGATTTTTTAAATATTAAATAGAAATTTATTATTAAAATAATTATATAATTACTTTATATTTATAAAAGTTTGTATTTAAGTTTTTATTTTATTTTAAACGATTTTAAATATACATATAAATATAATAATAAAATTTATTTTTTTATAATATAAAGTCATATCGATGTTTGATTTTAACATTTTATCAAGATCCTTTATTAAAATAAAAAAATGGTTTATATAGAATTCTGAATTTTAATAACATGGACTGAATCAAAAAAATTTTCAAATAATCAATTAGTAAGATTTATCGTAATATATTTTCAAGCATATAAGAGCATGTCTCCTTCCGCGCATCCCAGTAATATAAGTTTATTTATGGGTAAAATCCCTAAGCATGTGATTTGTGATTTAACTGTTGCGCTTTTAAATTTTAATGTATTTTGTTGGAACTAAAGAAGAGGTAGTGATAAGTCTTTGATAACCAGTGAAAAAAAAATATTTTCAAATAAAAAATACGTACGTTTTCGTTCAAAGGTGAGAAAGTTATGGAGTTGTTGTTATTTACAGTGATGACTTCTTCTTTGTACATATTCAAAGCAGCTATTTCCGACGTGACTGATAAAATGAATTGAGAATTACTTCCACAAACAGATCACGCAGCATTACGAAGGGATGCTAAGATGAAGAATTACCTCGAATAGTGTTGGAAAGTGATAAGCTGTCGGTATCCCATATGCAAATTAGATGCGAGCTTTGGGCGTATGAAACAAGGTAATTGTTTCCGTGGAATTTCATCTGATAAAAAAAAAAAACTTTATGAAATTTCCGAAGATTGACGACAAAAAACAGTTACAATAGAAGTACCTGAGAAATGTCCGTATCACCGGCTTTCCAGCTTCCAACCAGGGTACCTGTTCTTGATTCCAATAGTGATATCACACCGCTAGAAAATCCAACGGCTATCAGAGTTTCGGACGGATTTACACAAATGATTCGTATTATTCCTGCAATAACAAAATATGTATTTATTCAAGAAAGATCAATATTTCTTTAAAGCGTGGATCACAAATTCATACCAGCTGGAGCAGGACACGATTTCCATGAATAAGATAATTTCAATGATATGGTATCATAGAATCTAATAATAATAATAATAAACAATTTCCAATATTAAATACTATTTTTTTTTAAAAAGAAATCACTTCTTATTTCTAAAACAGATCAAATCCTACACCACAGAGGAGTCCGCCAGACCGCCGACAAGACACCGAGATTTGAATATTGGTTTCATCGAACAACATGGTTTTGCGCTTGCAATTTGATTTAATGTTCTTCCTGTCTCCGGATCCCAGAGCTATGAAACAAATCGCGGATATAACAACGACAATAATTATAATAATACCAATACATATAATTACATAATACTCACATGGATTTGTCCGTCACTACTAGCGACGGCATCTCCCAGACCCCAACTGATACCACCGCTGATAAAGTGTACGTCGTTGATTGTTGGTTTTTTGTGCTCACCATAAGAAATTAGGTATTCAGAGAATGGTTCGCTATTCAGATTTTCTATGCCCGAATGGATATCTAACGACCATAATTTGACTGTCCGATCTTTTGACCCCGAAACTATATATCGATTGTGTTCGCTTATATCCAAGGAACGAATTGCAGATGTATGCCCTGCAATTTCCACAATTCGTTTGAAAAGTGTATATTAGAAAAAAAGCAAAATCGCTAAGAAAAATATTAATCCTTACCCGAAAATGTTCGTAGCTTCAAATCATTAAAGGTAAATTGCAAAGCATTCATCATCTCCTCTAATTAAAAAAAAAAAAATAGTTTTAGATTAAAGGTTTACTAGACACTTGCGAATATTCCATAAATTTTTGATACCTGAATTTGTGGATAAGAATCGATTCCAGTTTCTAATATTCAAGAAAGAGAGGGCATGAGAAACGTTTTTTTCGGAACAGATGAAAAGAGGATAATATTAGATAAAATAGTTACTTTAAATCTTCACCTTCTTTAAACTGGCTTTTGGTTCTCCAAGACAATATACCCAATTTTGTCCTAGATTATAGTAACCATAATTTGAATCTGCTTTTGCGTTTGAAAAGATTTATCAGAATCTTACTTACTTTTTAGATCCTGAATTTGAAGGGAGACTCTTCACCGGGGACATAGTCGAACTCCGTGATGATACGCCCGTTACAGTTTGGTGATTGATGCCAGCCAATTTCTTGCTCGCACCTTCACTCGAAAATGAAGAGAACGCACGGTTCACGCTAAGGCTCGAAGAAGTGGTGGTGGTCATAGATATAATTGAAGCAACATCTTTAGAGCCAAGCGTCAAATGCTTTTTGTCCTCGAAGTTTACACTAAATTTTGCCGTGTTGGGTGCACTAGAAGCTTTAGTTTCACTACTATATGATGTCATTGATTTTACACTAACACGATCGCTAGACACATGATTATCTGGCGAGCACGAAAGAGATGGTGGCCGGGCGGGAACAGACGACGATAATTCGCCTGAAATTGCCGAACCGTTCATCGCAAGTTCTATGGCTTCCCTGCAACTATATCCATCAAATAAAAAATTTCAGACAAGAGATCACGAGGCATCATCTAAGTACATCCAACATACCTCTCGGGGATGGTCTGTCGCACACTTTCTGGGTCAAACAGAATACAAAATTGCGAGTATGCATATATAATCTAGTGTGTATTAAAGTAGGTTATTACTCGCAATGCTATCGTTTAGATTGTGGTGAATGATGACAACCTGTTGATTCCTGTCTTGCTCCAATTTAAGCCGTTCGCTTTCTTCCATGCCCAAATTCTCCAAAGACTTCCCATAAGATTCAAAATATTTTTGTAATATTGGTGCTATCTATATACAAAAACAGCAAATTTTAGCAACGAACATTTCCATCGCAAACAAGTAGCTCCTCAACTAATAAAGAAAAAATGTAAACTTACATGCTTTTCCCAATCAGATTTGGCCGCATTGTTACAGACATGCAATAAGAGCTCTACAGTTTTAACACTTACAGAAAACCTGTTCTTTATTATCTGTATTGCTGAGCCTGTAAGGGGGCCTTTCTTCTCTAATGATGAGTTATCATCGTTGTTGAATTGCACAAGCAATTTTATCAACGTTTCGGAAAATAAAGAGTCTATTTCTGAGAGAACCTTGCCGCTTGGCATCAAAGTGGTGAGCTTGACGAACGCACGCACACAAACAGATAAATAGAAAACATTAAGATGATAAAATTTTTGAAGAAATGATTGAGCATCATTATAAAAGCATTGAAGAATACCTTCTCCAATAAAAACAGGTGATTGCACAATATAGAGTAATTCTTTTTGTTCATGGTCAATGTACTATATTGCTGTATTACAGCGATCACTTGGGCAAATTGTAAATGAGTGAATGTTTCACCAAAGCGATTTCCTGATTATAATGTTGGTTAAATAACATTAAATCTAAATGTGAATTCAATAACACCACCATCACGTGATTTTGATGCTTACCTATAGCAAGGATCGATTGCATCAAAAATGGTAATGTTGTACTCTCTTTGAGCAGCATCTTGTATAATTGCTTCATTATGTGCTTAGAAGCTAATATTGGTCCTATGAGTGTGCTATGTAAGGGTCATGTATTAGAAACTTTTGATAGGATAATATTGAACTGATAACCATTAAAAACGTACCATATGGTGACGAGAGCGGAATTTGCCAGTTGCGCCACAGATGGCAAGGCATTGTCTAGGCTATATGAAGAATTGTTTGTGGTAGTTGTTGGGCTAGAGACAATCTCGTGATCGGTCATGCATTTTAATTTTGGATCCATAAAAATACCATCATCAAATGTCATTGGCACAATACTATCCTCTATCGTGAGTGCCTCCAGGTAAAGGGGGAACAATTGCTGTAAGAAATTGGTCACGCCGAATCTGTGAACAAAACTTGTAATGACTGCATTATCAAATAACCTTTGAGGTATTGATGGGCGTGATGACTAGAGAGGACAATAAAGTAGATGGTTAGATAAGTTGGTGAGTTTTTAAAAATTCGAATGATGCATCCATACCTCAAACAGCGAGACAATAGGCTTCAAAAGGTGATTCTTTGTTTCATCCTGGCCTAGCCTTTGACCAAGCTTTGAAAATATATTTAATGCTTCTATTTTGATAGTATCTTGAGTAAAAAGAAGCACTAGACTTGGTAAAATCATAAAAAATGCCTACAAGAAAAAAAAATTATCAGGATATTAGCTAAATCTAAAAATAGAACTAGGACATCTTGTCAAGGAAGTTTATCCATACTTCGTCGATAAGTTTACATAATTTGCTCATCCAGTGTTCCGCAAGTTTTAGTCTACCAATCCAATCACTAGCATTGAAAACAACTATAAATGACAAGGGAGAAAATCATAAACGACAAACAAATCTAAATTAAAGGCAACACTCACACTTGATGAAAATCGGTCAAGAATTCGTAAACTTCCGGAATACATTCTGGAAGGGGAAGTGTCATGCCAGTATCATGCAAACTCATTACGGGAACAGAAGTGTATATCAGTGCATCAATGGAAGGACGTTTCGTCCAATCCGGATTCAATAAGGCAGACACTACTCCTTGAACGGAAAGTGGTAACTTTTTACGAAGAAGATAAAAAGAGTTACGATTAACCAACATTTCCTATTCCCTTATTAACTTAATATTTATGGATTTACCTTACGATTGTCAACCATCTGATCCGTTTCTTGATTTGTGGAAAAAAGGGACAACATAGTATCATCCGTCAAATCGGAATATATGACCTTGATTATCTTTCCGAGACAATAGGTGTCCCATGCTTTTCCATATGCGAAAGTGTTTTCCACGGGGCTGACCTTGGTGGAATCTCGACGTTGATGATAATTACTCCCATCCTGATCACCCGATTGTTCATACTCTGCGCTCATAAATTTGTGAGGAGGATATTTCGCGGAAAAAACATGAGCTCGCTCAAAGTTATCTAGGCTATTTGTGAAATAATCCTCAGAGATCTCATCCGAAAAGTAAATTGGCAGAGAGTTCATCAAATTTGACCAAGCTTCAATGCGAACATTAGGGTCCTTGGGATCTAATGTCGCCGAAGATGCTTCTTTCTCATCTGCGTTAATAATTTCATGCAACGCCAAAGATAGCCTTGGTGATGAGCAACTAGATATGGTCTGATACTTCCCCACCGTTTTTTCGGATCCAACCAATAGTTCATTAGAAATCTCGGTTATTTGTTGCAAAGTCATCTTGTTGGTTTCTAAAAGCTTCGAAGGTATCCGTTTCTTGCATGAGATTGATTCATATTTTTCAAGTAATGATTTGCTGTCGTTATTTGTCACCGAAACACTAACATAAATTGTTGTTCTTGTTAGAACATTGATGAAAATAAGTAATATAAAAAGGAAATAGAATCACCTTTCATGAGCCGAATTTACTATTTTCTGAGGATGCGGATCGGAAAATAACTGCGTGATTCCATGCTTCATGAAGGAATTTTGACCGTCCAGAAGGGGCAAGGCAACATTTTTTGCTTCGACCGCATCATCACCTAACGGTGTGTTTATTTCAATAAAACTACGCAGACGTGTTCCAATCAATATGCCTTTGCCTACCACTTAGTCTACATCCAAAAGTAAGATCTATCCACAAATGTAAATTCTTTGACACATAATCGCTTTCTAAGGCTTCGGCATGTAGACGAATAAAATCATTTGCTGTCGGTGCCCACCTATTATCGATATCGCAATCGATAAATAATGTTGTGAGGTTTGATAAATATAAATATATAATTATTTTTCTAAAAAAAAAAAAAAGAAGACTTACGACGGTAGTTGCAAATCCGGCATGTCCGGATGTATCGATGTGAAGATGCTTGGATCTAATAATTAAAATTCTAATTAGAAAAGGTCAAATATTCGGAATAACTGATTTAATCATGTCACAAACCTGTATAAAATTCCGGGATACACTCATCAGGTGTCCATTCAAATAGTCTTTGTAATGACGAAGGATATTCGTTTGGTTCATATTTAGTTCTCACATACTGACAAAGTACCTGAAAGAAAATGTAATATTGAAACATATAAGCATGTGTGATCGAAGAGGAACGTAAGGTAGGAAACAGGAGTGGTTTGTTCGTACTGGTATCGGAGTCTTCCGGGCGAGGTACACGTAGTACGTAATATCCGATAATATATCAGTTATATGATGAGGAACTGGTCCGTCAAATGTGAAATCCAATTGTTCATCCCCTATAAAAGATATTAAGCAAAACACCATATGTTATTACGATGATATATTCCTATTTAAATCTGAGTTGATCAATAATATTTTCCTTGCCTTTGTTAAGACGAAACTTTGTTTTCGTGAAGTCACGCCAATTTTCAGATACCGATGAACCGGTGAAATCTGTAATCCAGGGGAAAATCGGGTGAAAGTTTGGATCACCAATTCGGCGACCTATATTTAATCAAGTTAAACTTAAGAAATGATAACAATAATGATGTCAAAAAATAAAAAATAAATCAATGTGGATGTACTTCCTACCCGCCAGATTATTTAGAGCCATTATATAGTCAAAATTCGAAATATCCCCATGTACCCACTTCATCGTAAGTGAATCTTCCTTGATTTCTAAAATTTTGACATTAAAATGCTTTGTTGTATAATGATTGATTGTAAGAATCAGTCTTTGTAACGTATGAACATTGAGACTAACTTCTTGGAATATTTTCCATCACAAAGTCGTTGGCCGATTGTGAAACTTGATCTAAGATTATTGACAAAAGCTCGACGAGTAATTCTCATAGATCGCAACCTCGAAGCATAAGAAAAATAGCAAACCTGACCCTCCAACAGTGGTAGGAACGGAACACTCAAATCCAGTAAGAGTAATCCACAAGTTTTCGTCAACAAGTATATTAGAAGTCTTGAGGCTGATTGTTGAATTTAGTATGAGCAAAGCTTAAGAAATGAAATAACCAACAAAACATAAAGAAAAGGGAAGCAGTAAAATCTACCCTCCATGAATTACTCCTCTCTTATGCAAATTCTGCACAGTTCTCAATAACTGATATAGTATAAAAGATTTCTTTACATTGGAATTCAATACGCCGGAACTATATTTTAGCAAATCTTGCAACGTGGTCCCCCGATAAGGAGCTATGAAATAGTAGGCTCTATCAGACTCCAGAACTGCAAACACATCAATAAGGTTGGGACTCGTTGTTATTGGCATATCTGAGGACCAGTCCGGCTGAGAATGTAATTCCACGGATAAAACATCATTTTCCTGTTGTGGCAATATTTTGAAGTATGCACATTCCGGATACAGCATTTCTATGAATTTTTCCACAAATGCCTTTAAAAGTGAGAAAAATGAATATCAACTTTCAGAGATTTAAATTCGAGAACAACATAGTAAGTAACTAAAAACAAAACCAAACCTTCTGCCTGACCAATTGCAGTTCCAAATCCGTTAATCCTCTGGCATTCTGAAAGTCTTTGTCAAAGATAATTGGAACGTAGTTTTCGTATTGTGCCTCGATCTCGACCAAATCTAATATCGGCTTTCCCTCGTGTTGTTCCTTGAGGAAATATCTTAACGGGTAATCGAATCTACTTTGAAGTTTTCTTGACGGGTTAATGTTTTCATGGGGTTTTCGGGCATATAACAGTGGCTTTCTATAAAGGAAAAGTATCGGAAGTGAAAATCTACGCTTAGTTCAATTATGCGATCCTCATTATCGAAACGATAACTGACCTTGCGTTATCGGTTAACTTTCGCTTTAAAAATACACTGACCAGCACATTTGTCGTTGGAGCTTGACGATAGTCGTTGGTTTGATCGGGATTATTATTGTTGGTGTTTAAAGGAGAACGAGTGGTGGGATATCTTTTAATTTTGGTGGTTTCACGAAATTTTGATTGCCTCAGGGTGGCAAGCCAATGCTTATGAACCTATAAATGACCGGCGTCACGTAAATAGAAAGTTAAATATAAATGATTAGATCAAGAAAAAAAAAAAGCCTCAAGGCTTACGAGTGGCTTTATCAACACCCACCACACAACAAGCGGTAGCACCGGCCTGTTCTTCGACGGAAAAACAAGGGAAAGCGACGTCGATGTGCAATTCTTGGGAAATTATCGTGGTGAGCTCTTCTCTAGATAATTTATCGATTGAAACCATTTCTTTTCTTCCTTTTTAAAGTTCGGTAAGGATTAAAAAAAAATAGACTTTCCAATTCGTTGACTGCCATCGAGAAGTGGTCATATATTATATGAACATCAGTTGTGTGATACATTGATCACAATGAACATCTTTATTGAACTAAAAAATCAAAAATCAAAAAAATACTAACCATCCGTTATAAAAAACAAGAATCGAGTGTAGGAAATGGATATATTTATAATTTTTGAGTTGTGCGTGATACAAAAACATTTTTTAGATACGCCAACATCGATTTTTTCTATATGCGCATAGAACTAGACTTACTGTAATTTCATAACGATAAACAAATAATGAACCATCTACCATTACGTAATTGATTTAGATTGTTTGCACATACAGTACATACGTACGTACGTACAGTGCACACGCAAAATCTTTTTCTTTCGTGCTTTGGGAAACGTTGATCATTTGGCCAAAGTTAGAATATAGCGTTAAAAAACATTACGATAACATTTCTATATTGACATTATTTCACACGCATAATTCTGCTGGCAAGGTCAATTAATAAATTTTTTCCGAGCAAAGTATTACGCTATAAACAAAACACGCGTTAAAGCACTTAGGTGGGATTGGCTGTTAATATAAATCTGCAAGGCTATTGGTCTTTCTTTTGTGAAACCTTCATTAACAAACAACCAAATCGGAATGCTACCTAACGCCTGATTTTTTACAGTTTAAGTTGATCTTGAAAAAAAACAAAATTTTCAGTCGTACTTCTCGCCCATGGCTGCTCAGCTCCCATCCGATTGTCTCATCAACATTTTCTCTCATTTCGATGGTGATGTGAGGTCATTACATTCTTTTCTACTGGTGTCTAAAAACTGGTGTCTCAACGTTCTTCCCATCCTATGGAAGAGGACATTTTACCTTGTTTCTCATAGTTCCTTTTCATCTAGGAGGAGGAGCAAGCTGATATCAACCTATTTGGCATGTTCGAATGTTGTACCCATACCGGCTGCGGAAAAGGGATACCGGAAACCATTATTTGATTATGCTTCATTTTTACGTGGATTCGATTTCTACCAAGTTTACCATGCTATAGGCAATTGGTACGCTTTCCAGACCATGAATAAGCGAAGACTGATCAAGTTTGACAGATTCCCTGGGAAAGATGACGACGAATGTTGTATATTGTTTATCACCAAAGAGCTTATCAAACATTTGATTCAGAAGTCCCCGATAATTGATTATTTCGCTCTAGATGCGGAACATTCGATTCCACCGGAATGCTGGTCAATATCGACCTTCCCGGATGCTCACAATTCTTTAAGGTATATAAGGAAATTCATATGCCGTGGCAATGCAAATAAACAAGAAGTCTACGATGCACTCTCCCAATGGTGTAAAGGTATCGAGTTCCTATCCATTTATGGAATGGGCGATAATCCCATGGGCGAGTCGCTAGCCAACTTGATTCGGGGTCAACGTCAACTTCACGAATTCATTCTTTGGGATGGCACGCAAGATCAATTGCCTCGAATTATTCGTGCCTTAACGACGCATGGCGAAAAACTCGAGTACCTAGAATTTAGATTTTGTGATTTTTCAAAATGCATGCCTTTAGAGACTTTGGCCATGTCATGCACCAAACTAACGACGCTTAAATTAATTCATTGCGGCGATCTACCCAGCAGTCTTTCTCTCACATTCCCAACTCCGATATTTCCCAATCTCAATCATCTGGATTTACAAATGACTCATCTGCCGAGCGACTCGTTGGAAGTCATCCTGAAATGTGCGAATATTAGCTTAAAGAGTGCACACATTGAAGGAATAAGAATTGGTAATAGATTAAGGATACTAGATAGCATATCGAATTATTGTCCCAACATAATTCATCTCAAGGCTCATATAAAAAAAGACAAACTCTCACAATTGATAAATCTTTTTCGCTCATGTCGAAAATTGGAAACGTTGAAGATTTACGCAACACTACCGGACCCTCTTTACGCATTCGTCCAAGATGCAAATGATGACTTATTAAATAGTTTACGACAAATAGTCCCGTCGACATTAAAAAAATTTGTGTTGAAAACGGATTGTGCGTTTACTGCCCATTGCGTCGAGATATTTCTCAGAGATTGCAGTACAAACTTGAGAACCTTGGAATACATTAGCTATGGTGGCGCGTGGCAACACATGAAAGTTCTGAAAAAGTATGCGCGAGAAAGGGACCTGGAGATCAAAAAACAAATCGCCGGGAATTATCAAACTCTATTGACGAGGGATATAGGTCATGTGATTGTCGAATTTGGTGAGAAGAAAGAATAGGCCTGTTGCACATTTTTCATATTCAATATATGAAAGTCAAAATTGATTACCATCACTAGAATCCGAAAGGCCCGATCGATTAAATTATACCATTACCCAAGAGAGTAACTACCACCGCCATGATCGTCTCACTCATATGACTTTTATTCTGCGTGGTAAACAAAATGGTGGTGAAAATTTATGCTATCGGTCTTGCGTACAGATTTTACGCAACGGGAGTAGTGGGTCGGTGACTATTCTTTCAGTACATGCGCCGACATATTCTCACTTCAAAGAAAAAAAGAAAGATTCTAATTATTAGATATCGCAAATTTAAATAGAATTTACTAAAAAAACACATACATACATAATCAAATAAATCTATTATTAGCCAATAGATGATTCATTTATTCATTTATTATAATTGTCGAAATATACTCATATTCATTCTGAATATTGTTTTTCCTCGACGCTTGAATACGAAATTCCAAAAAAAAATTTCCCTTAATTTTTGTATCTAGAAAAATTTTACGAATCTCAATTATTAATCTATCATAATTTATCAACAAAGCGAGAAATTGGCATACATTTCTTGCACACATGTACACTAATTGTCAACCGAATCTCACGTAATCAATAGACCGCATACTAGTGTTTTTTAAAAAAAATAGACTCCACCTAATTCATTCATCATTTTTTAGAAAGAAATCATCGATGTCATAAAAAGCATTTTTTGTTTTCATTAATAAAAAAATTCAATACTCAAGATATTCGTTTTACGAATATATTGTACAGATACTGTATATATATATTAAGATTCCTTTATCAATTGTACTGTTATGATTTTTTAAAAAAGTTTTATTTGATAAAGCTTGTATTTTTTATTTGATTTTTTGTATTTGATATTTTAAAGTTTTTTTTTTTTTATAATCCTCAATCAGGCTGAAGTCCATTTGTTTATTTAATCAAATTGAATCATTACAATAAATATTGTATGCATAAACCTACTTCATTCAACTTATTTGTTAACCACATTAGGTCTCTAGATGTGATTTATAAGAATAATGTATTGCTCATCCATCGAGTAGGATCAAAATTTATTTAAATCAATTTTGCAAAGTAATTGTTGAATTTGAATAATGTAAAATATTTTTTTATTTATTGTATATTATCTCTATAATATAAATTAAAAAAAAAAAACAATAATTTATATATTTATTTGTAATTTATCAATTAATTATTTGAATTATACAAAATTTCAAAATCATATTCTTTAATGCTTTAAGAATAAGTTTTTTATAATTTATATACATTAATGTAATAATATAATTTTTTTAATCTTATTTTTAATATTTTAAAAATAAATTGATTTATATTTTATATATATAAACTTAAGAATCCTAACAATTCTCTTTAATTCTGTATTTAATTTAATATGTGAAGTATACCTCACTATTATTTTTAATAGTGTTTTGAATCTTATGTGATTTTATATGATTTTATTCAATTCCAATTTTGAAACCATATATAACCTATATTATATAGTCTAATAAAAATTTTTTAAAATTATTTATTAATTAATTTAATAAAATTTAAAATTAACAATAAAATTAATTACAAAGAAAGCCTAACAACACTCAAAAAAATAACCAACGACACACAAATATTATTGGAAAAAAATTTCAAAAACAACAAAAATTTTGACGGAAAACAAATTAAAAAACTACTAGACATCAATATCGACACCATCAATTTTGTAACAGGTATCCTCCAACCAAATATAATCTTCAAAAATCTCAAACCAACACAAACTGATCTTAAAAATATCAATGAAATTCAAAACAAAACACTTGAACTACTATACACGCAAATATGGATATCCAGAAATCAAGAAATGATTGCAGAAGAAAAATTTCTCGACATATCACAAAACACCAAATACAAAAAAAACAATAATAACAACAATAACAACACTAACAACAAACCTCACAACACACAAAAAAACAAAAAACATCAACTCCAACAACAATAACAAACAATTTTAAACAACACAATTTCCAATAACACGAATCAAAATGATAAATTAACTAACATCATTCTCCAATTATTTTCACAAAACTTATCCATGCCCGTACAGGATAAAATAAATTATTAGGGAAACATTAACCTCTCAAAACTAAGTAGTTACTTTCTCTTTTCCTTGCCTCAAGGTTTTTTACTAGAAATATACTTAGAATGGTAGTAGGCTGATATACATAATGATGTATTTTAGTATCTTAATATTAATTATATAACATCTATTAATAAAGATCACGAGAAATGCCTCGCTTAACATTAAAAAAAAAACAATAAAATTAATACAAAATTTTATATTTTTTATTTGTTTTATTTTAAAAACATATAAATTTTATATTGATTTATTAATAAAAATATAACTTTAAAAAAATTCTAATTTTTTTTTATATAGATATAGTGTGTTGCAAAACTTTTTTAAATTTTTTTTTAAATTTTTAATATATTAATTAATAGTAAATTAAAAAACAAAAAAAAATTTATAAAAAAGATATAATATTATTATTATAATTAATCAATTTTTAGATTTATTTTATTTAAATTTATAAAGTTATAAAATTTTATATTTTATTTTTAATATTATAAAAAAAATTATTTTGAAATTTAAAATTTAAAAAATTAAAATTATATAAACAATTTTTTTAAAAAAGTAAAAAATCTATAGATTAAATTAATAAATTTTAAATTATTGTATTAAAATTTATAAAATTATAATAATTTTAATGAAATTTGTAATTAATTTTTAATACTTAAAAAATTTAAAAAAATTTTTTATATAAAACTTATATTATTATATTAATACAATTAGTTAGATATTAACTTATCTACAATAACTATTTAATTAATATTAAAAATTAAATAATAGAAAAATTAAATTATAAATATATTGAAATAATTAAATTTAAATTAAATAAATAAATTAGTAATTGTGAAAAGTAAATTGATAATAATTTTTCTTATAGATTAATAATAAATATAATTTTAATTTGTAAAATATTGTTGTTTTTTGATTTAGAAAAATTAATGAATTGAAAAATTTGTAAAATTTTATTTAATTTCAATAAAAACCAAAATATTAATTATAAATCCTATTCTTTTTAGATTATATTATATAATTAAGTAAAAATTTTATTATTATCTTAATACAATTAATAAAATTTGATATAAAAAAATTTTTATTTATTATTTATATAATAGTTTAACAATCTGTTATATACATATATAAAATTAATTTGTAATTATTGTTTAAATAAAAAATTTGATTAATAATTTTGCTAATTTAATTGGCTTTTTAAAAAATCTTAGAATATTTGAAAATAGATTAAATATTTTTAATATAAAACTTATATCTTAAACAAAAGATGTTTAAATATAATTAAAATAAAATTAATAAAGTATATAATAGGTATAAAGATTATTAATAGCAATTTAATTCTGAATATAATTAAAATACTATATTTGTTATTATAATATTTTTTAATATTTTTATTAAATTAGTTAATAATTTTCAAGTTATAAAAAATATATACTTGTATAAAAGTTTAAATAATAAAAAAGCTTTTATTTTTTTTTTAATGTTAAGTGAGACATTTCTCACGATCTTTATTAATAGAGTAAAATAATAATTGTTACATGATTAATATTAAGATGTAAGATACATTGCT